GTGTGTGTGTGTGTGTGTGTGTGTGTGTGTGAGAGAGAGAGAGAGAGAGAGAGAGAGAGAGAGAGAGAGAGAGAGAGAGAGAGAGCGCTATTCTTAAAATTGGCACCTATTTTTCCTCCTCCTCGCTTGTCGCCCACATCTTCTGTCCTTTGCTTTTAGAACCTTTTCTATGATAGTTGAAAAGAAATCGTGCACAATGTGGGAGCACCTGCTGCTCCCCACGAATGCATTAGAGCTTTGGTTAAAAAAATGAAAAAAGGAAAAGAGAATCAAGCATAGTTATGTCAATCTGCGGATGTTTAACAAAGATACGTAATAATTATCGCCATAATTGTTAACGAGGGATCTCTTCCTTTTTTTTTTTTCTTTTTTTTTTTCCAACTGCAAACTTGTTATCACAAGCCCGGAATCGTTGCTGGATTCGTACCTCTAAAAGAAAAGACGAGCAGGCGCGAGGTCCCACTAGCATAGCGGGTTGGATTAAGCGCCTGAATCTGGACTCTGGAGGTGTGTTATGTAGAAATGTGGAAAAGCAGATCAAGCACGATTTTCTGCACCTCTCCAAAAACACGTCCACATTCAGGCGCATTCTCTTTACCCATTTGGGCATTTGCGGATGATGTACTACTGCTTTGGGCATTTAACTCTGACGTTCCAGGCTGCAAAATTTGGGCGTATTTTTTTAAACCGAAATCGTCAGGACTTATCGGGATCCCACCAGTAGAACCGGAAGATTTTGTGGTTAAAAAAGGTGGAAATTGCGGCCAGGAACGTCAAGTGAAATGCCCAAAAAAGTAATATTATATTATTTATTATCATGTCTAGTGACGTGGTTAAAAAAAGGTCGAAATTGCGGCCAGGAACGTCAAGTGAAATGCCCAAAAAAGGAATATTATAATATTTATTATCATGTCTAATGACGTGGTTAAGAAAAGGTCGAAATTGCAGCCAGGAACGTCAAGTTAAATGCCCAAATAAGGAATATTATATTATTTATTATCATGTCTAATGACGTGGTTAAAAAAAGGTCGAAATTGCGGCCAGGAACGTCAAGTTAAATGCCCAAAAAAGGAATAATATATTATTTATTATCAATTTATCATGTCTAATGACACTGGACAACACGTGGGTTTGGCTGCAGCCTGCCACTGGTGAGGCGACGGTAAATTGTGTACGTCCAAGTAACGAGAACGAAAGAAATGCATGGATAGTAATTTGATAACCCCCTTATTCTCCGCTAAAGGGACAACTCTGGCCTTAAAAAAAAAAAGAGAGAGAGAAAACTATGGCGCAGTAAGGGTTTGAGTTTGAAAATGCACTTGAGGCTTTTTTGGAATAAAAATAAAATAAAAGGGCTGAAAATGGGTATCGTTTTTTTTTTAAGCCCTGGTCCGGTGGGGTCACGTTGGGGTGTGTAATGTTCTGGGGGGAAGCCTGAAGTGCATTTTCAAACTGGTTTTTTTTTTTTTTTTTTTTTTTTTGTCTTCGGCTCATCGGGGAACAGCTGTATATATATATATACATTTTTCTCTGACCTCTCATATTTTTTAACTGGCGTTCTGCCACGTCATCATGCAACATATCTTTCTTTCATTACCTACCTACCACTACACCGAAGGCATAGTGCTATACAGGGGACCCCTGCAAGCATGCATAGCTTTTTTCTACCTCTCGAGGGTGAAGGGAGGGGAGGTTACCTCTCTCACCTCTCTCGGTGGAGGGAGAGAGGTGACGGCATGTTCGACCCTTTGCCCCCAGCGTTTAGGGTGCTTGCCCCTTTGCCCTAGCGTTTAGGGTGCAGGGTTGGGGCCGCCGGTGGGGGCCCACAGCTAACACAAGGACCGAGCATTGGCACAATAACTGTACCTCCCTTTTCATCTTCCCCCACCCTCATGGGGTAACAGTAGTGTTTATTTGGTAAAGAATTTCGACGTGACCCTGAACCAACACTCTACCACACACCACACACAACACATAAAACAACCCACTCACACGCGCACTCACACCCACCCTTGTTGGCTGAAGACCGTACTACTGTAATACCGACTGGGAGGATCCAGCTGACTATCTCAGTTGGTTGGCACCAAGCGTGCCACAGGCGGCCATGGGGGTTGAACCCACGACCTCCTGAATGCCACTTGCAGTCCTAATCAATTGAGCTAGGCCTCTGGATTCGTAACTGCGCCAACAGTTATAACTCCTCCCCCTCCCCCCCCAAAAAAAAAAAAAAAAAAACATCCGTTACCTAGGCTACCAGAGTCGCGTGGGACCACTTGCCCGGCCGGGGACCATGTCCCATATGCACCGTTTAGTTGAGGCAGCTCAACGGTGCGACAGCTTTAAAAAATCATTTTAATTCAATTTCAAATGAGAAATGCATTTATAAATGGCAGGAATACAATTGTTCTCGTTTTTCATTTTTCACAATTGGAGTGGCATACGGGCACTTCCACAGCAGAAAATGAAGAGGTGCCCGAATCCCGTCCAAAAATGGCAAACGGAAGGAGGCTCGTTCAGTTTCTCCTGAAAAACGCCTGTTGGGGGAACAAGAGGGTCGTTGAACTAGCTGTCTCGAAAAAAGGAGACAGCTAGTTCAACGGAAAGTGGCGAGGGTAGGGGTAGTAGTATTCGAGAGAAAGGATTTATTTCTGTTTTTTGATGTAAGAAAAAGCAAAGATGGACTCTATTGCGCTTTTTATTAGAAACGGACCGTTAGATGAATTGGACGACTAGCATCTCCCTTGTCGCGTACAGTCACACAGGCTCGAAAACCCCACGTTGGACTAGCTCAACGGAGCTAGTGGGACAAGGTCCCGGGGGGAAAAAACAAAAAACAGAAAAAAACCATATTTCTAAACTTCACTTTTTAGTTTTTATTTGGTTAAGAATTTCGATGTGACCCTGAGGCAAAAGTTGTTCAGTTTATTTTTTTGCAGATTTTTTCGATTTTTTTTTTTTTTTTTTTTGGCTGGGACCCACTTTGGCCCTTGCACGGCCGGGCTGCCCAGGAAAACAAGGTCACCCGGGCGGCCCGGCTTGTAGCCTAGTCCGTTACTCATCCTGTCGCTTTTTTTTTTTTTTTTTTTTTTGTCGCATAGTATTATGGCAGCGACTCGTACAAAAAAAGGATGGAACCCGATGAATGTCTGCGCGCCTTACACGCTGTACTAAGAGGGCTATTTACCAACGTGTATGTTTCCATTACTGGGACCTGTATGTCCCGTAAATGGGGCCTGATATATTTTGGAGGCTATGCACCGCTAATTGGACCTATGTGCCCTCCCATCAATGTGACCGTTGTGACGTACACGTTCCCCATTAATGCCACAAGGTCACAAGGGTATTTACGATCTGAAACTCCGGCGTGTCGTGATTTGTATGCTGTCTGGCAATGTGACATATATGTTGTCGATATGTATGTTGTTGTCAATATAATATATGTTGTTGTCAATATAATATATGTTGTTGTCAATATAATATCTGTCGATCACACCAGAAGTCGCGGCTTCAAATCCCGTTTTTCCCGGAAGGTATGCCTGAGCGGCTGCTGAAGGCATTGATTGGTTTGCGAAATCAACATACATTGTCAATTGGATACACCAAGATTGTATATCATTTTCCAAAAAAAAAAAAAAAAAAAAAAAAAGATTGTATATCATAGAGGTTGAAATGAAATTCCATTTCCTCCAGTCTCACCGTGCGCTAAGCCCCTGAGGAGGACCGGTCTCGACGAGCCGGTCGAAACACGTGTCGGGTCAAATCGTCGACTGTTCTTTCGTGTTTATGGCGCTTTATGCTTACCCTCGTCACTTTTTTTATTATTATTATTTTTTTAAATTTAAATCTCGTCACTTTCTTTGTTTCTTTTTTTTTTTAACTCTCGTC